AACTTTTTAAAAAAAATAATGTAAGATTCGTAATTAGCATCAAAAACTACATCTAGTGATGTGCTTCTTTCAGTTCTACTCTAAAATAATTTTTTCAAAAACTTGATCAGCGAAGTACCGAGTTACGTGGACAAGCCGTATGAATAAGGAGACATTTTAAAACCAATGAACATCAGTCAATAAGACTGTAACTGTTATCGTGTAGCGTTGGATGAACTAGATATACACTTACAAGAACGAAATAACATCATACGTTTAGCCAGTCTAATGCACAATCAATTGAGCGCAGATGTATTCACGCCAATAATTAAATACGCTTGGTTCTCCAGTGGCTTAATACGTGAAGATCCTTCTCCATTTGTCAGCGTTAATCAAGTTTGCTTTGCAAGTTCAGAAACTCATATACAATGTGAAGAAAAAGACTGCGATGAGTCTGTTTTTATAACTTGTGCTTGATGTTCGAAGAAATTGTGTTTTCAACACTTTTTTACCAGTTATCATTTCCATTAAAAAATGCAGAAAATATTTTTACGAATCATGGCTCTGTGAAACTGCTNCTTTTTTTAAGTTTTAGACGCAGAAGACTCGCTCAAAATCTCGCTTAGAACCTTGAAAAATTGTTTTCTGTAGGTTTGACGACGTGCTCTTTCATTTGGACAGGTCAAGGAGATTTTTTAGTGAAAATGGTTTTTCGATTGAAAAACCAAGATCTTTAAAAAACGGGTCTTTAAATCGAAAGCGGGAAAAAACCATTGTGATATTTGGAATCAGCACGTTCGATTATCTATTGTCAACTGAGTTTAAGCTCAAAAGCGAGGAGGCAGTTGGTGGCCTTCCCTCGTTAGACGGTTTCTAAAAACAAGTGACAATGTGGTTGAAAACCGACGTATGCATACATAATACACAATGCATATTACGGCAGTCTCACTCAAAAGTGTGTGAGACAATACATAATCTCAAAGGTTTTTAAGAAGTTCTTTGAAGAACCTTTGCTCGATCCGAGGCTCGAACCTAATTTTTCCATGACTTGTTTGAACATTTCCTGAAAATTGCAGTTTGTTTGGATGAGAAATGATTGAATTACGAATATTTTAATTTTTGATGGACATACGAGAAAAAGTGAATACTGAAAAAACTGGTTCTTTCTGTGATTTGATTAAGAAACTAAACATTGTCACGATGATCAGCAATGTCAAGAACCTATAGTCCATCTCTCTCTGTAGTTTCCAAGCCAAAACTGTGAAGGTAGGTCTCTGGATACCCTCTGTAATTTTTCAGCCATTGGGAATGAAAATCTGAATCGTACATAGCTTGAAAGAAGATGGTCTGGCGGATCTAGCTCATATCTCAGAATTAAAAATTCATTGTTTGGCCTAGGAGCTGCAAGCTCGGACATTTTGTTTGTAACGGCTTACCATGGTAAACCTGATCCGGAGCCTAAATTTTTCCATAGGTCTACTTCGCAAATTGTCCTTGTCGAATGCTGAAAACTGCAAGGTTCTAGCTCGTTTTGTTGAAAAGTTATTCGAAAAATATCGACGACCACCATATTTTGAAACGGATAGTAATTCATTTTATAAAAATTTTATCCCGTCGTTACTTTGACGATACATTTCAAAAGAAGACACATGAATGTTGTATCATTTTATTCCTAGAGATAAAATCATCTTCAAATATAGAAAAGAGATGACAAATGACTCACTATATGTTAATATAATTTTTGATATTTTTTGTTAAAATAAAAGCCGAATAATGCATTTGATCCATCAATGCTTTTTGTTACAAGTAGAGTAAATTTGATGCCTCATACTCCAAACACACACACACACACACACACACTGAGCCTTTTCTCATTCTTTTTTTTTCTCTTTATATGGTTACTGATTTTATACAAGTATTTTTTATTTTGTTCGATTCTCTTTTTTTCTTTACTTTTTGAAGAGTTCTTCATTTTTTATTTTATAATTAGAAAAGCCTGTTTGCACATTTTTTTTTCTTCAAAAACAACGTTCGACTTCCTAAAAAGACATATATAACGTTTCAGTTTAAAAAACAGTACCAGGTCAGCTTATTAGAGTATTTATATATTTAACTTTAGTTTAGCTTCCATGGTGAATATACATGTTTTGTATACTAAAGACAACTGTTTGCATCCAACGTCTAAGTAGGTATCCACCAGTACCAGTATCTATACTGGTTTACCAGTTTTTACATACCTTTAGAACAAACAGTTTGTAAAATGATTTGGCATCTAGATAAAGTGATTTAGTTTAATGCGTATTTTTTTTGAGAATGACATAAATTTTTATATGGTAAGAAACGCGATCCGGAAACTGATACTGAACAGTTTGAGTTTGTTTTTATAATAATATCTCTTTTTGAAGAAAGTAGACTTTTGTGAAAAGTTTCATTTCTTTAACGTTGTGAGTTACACGCTTTAATTCTCCTCCAGTACTCGTACTGATGCAATTCTATGAGCAACTGGCTGATTAGCGATAACCAAGTTCTACGAATCACGAAAGACATGAACTTAAAATCCATTAATATAGACGCAAGAATTCTTCATGATAGGTCAAAATTTAATTGTCCAAACTTGACAAACTCCGTCGTAGAATTCTGTCTTCTACGACAGAATTTGCAAAAGAATACAAGGCAATAGCCCGATATGCCGTAGGTCAAGCTCATAAGATCGAACTAAACAAAATCTATGCTGTTATATTATGTGAAATGATCCGCTAGCGTGATATTAAGTCCTGTAGTGTAAAATACCGCATCAAACTAAATCGATTTATCTAGGTGAAGAAACATTTGTGTTATGTTACAAATTTTTTGAACTATAAAAGTATGCATCGTACCAGTATTAGTGGGTATCAAAAGGATTTGGACCCAAAGCCTTTGAACACACAGTATCCTGGCACTGGTTCATACCTACTTCTAAGTAGAATCATCCGATTTCTCACAAGAGAGACTCGCACAATATATTCTGTAGCGAAGAAAAGTTTGAATAAGAAAAAAGTGAGAATCGAATGATAATTTTCAGATCGTCTATAGATGGAAATATAGGGAATATCACTCATCTTCGCCGGTTAACATACGTCTGTGTATGGGTAACAGAAGGAAATGGCGGGACAAATTCTCGTAATCCTTTCTTACAAAAATAGATGAGCATAAACCCGACTTAAACATCATTTTAAACAACTTTTTTTAATCAAAATGACAAGTTATTTTACTATTTAGTACTTCAATGTATCGTCGACGTCACAGTTATCCGTATGAACATCGCGAAGAAGTCAATAGTCAACTGGATCATCTTATTTACGAACATGATCAACTTCAAAAACAAGTTCAATCTCAAACAATAAATGATATTTCTCGTCCACTTACCGCTCAGATAAATCAATGGGAACAAGATTCGATTAATCGAGTAAGAGCTTCAGCCGAACAAGCGCGTAATAAAGTGGCACAATTAATCGATGAAAATCGTCAGCATATAACACGACGTTTAAGGGTAGTTAGCGATGAAGTAAAGATAAAAAAGATGGTATATGTAGAGTTAGATTTAGAGCGATGGAATCAAGAAATTGAAAAATTAAAAAAAGAAGTAAATATGATTCCTACGTTACTCACTGACACTAATTCCATTAAAGTTATACCTGCTATTTCTTCAACATCATCGTTATTCTTTACTGATACACTAGTCCGAACTGAAAAATTCGATAAAGTATACGGTCCAGCAAAAATCGAACAATGGGGAAGCATCGCTGAACAACAGTCATTGGATCAATTTTCACATGTTCGAGGCTCTCAATTATATTCAACTGGTGTCCATCGTATTCAATTAAAAATCGAAAAAATGTTGAATAATGCTTGGCATTTCTTCGGTATAATATCCTCAGAGACACCTATTGATCAGACAATTAATTCAACTGGTGAATATGGTTGGGGCTATGGATACAATCAAGTATGGCTTAAAGGTGTTCAACACAAAGGCTATGGTGGATACGACTCGGATATGCGAGAAGGCGATCAAATTGAATTGGTGATAAATTGTGATGCGAAGCGAATTGAGTTGCATAACAAACGGATTCAACACAAACACTATGATATACCTATTGATGTCAAAACATGTCCACTACCATGGCAATTAAATGTTGGACTGTATTATGTTGGCGATCGAGTGAGAATTATATAGATAAATGAAGTTATTCTACTTTTGAACATCAAATAGAATCATCATTGTAATTTTATCATTTTAAAAGATTCAAAATTGAAGATAAATCATTTATTAACGTATACAATGTCTTGTGGTATAAAGTTTTGGGTACCAAACATTAGAATTTTACATTCTTTTCGAAAACATCAGATTTTTTTACACTTTAGTGGCCTTTTTTTAATGCAGTTGTGAGATGGTTTGTTTGATTAAATCATTTGTGCTTAATTTCACTTTCTATTTTGTGATCAACAGATAATTATCAGTTGGAATTTTCACTTGATGAAACCTGTTTGCAAGCGTTCTATTAATTATATTATCACGTTGATTCATAATTAATTGCGGATTAAATTTCAGATAAAACCGGCCACTTTTGTTCGTTGTTTTTGAGGTACCGTCCAGTAGTTTCAAGGGTTCTTTTTAAGGTCAATCGATAGAGAATTGAATTTTCTACAAAACCTGTAATTTTAATCTCTGACAGCATCTTTCCCGTTTGAGCACCATTCAATATTTCGAATGGTACTGAGTGGTTGAACTGCGACGTGCTTTTGACGTCTTCTCCTTTGAGATTTTTATCCCATTGTCTGAGGTTCAATAGTTAATTTTTCTAGGTAGAAAGATAGAGAATTTTGTGCTCTATCGATACAACTTCATACAATGTTTTCGCTTCGTCAGCTGAAATCAAAATTAGTTCTCAACCGGCTTTTCAATTTTTTCAAATTAAATTAATTGTTTTAATTAATGATTTGAACTGAGAAACTTCCTTTATATATAAAAAAATGCAGAATTTAATTCTGTGTAAGATGGTAAAACTAAAACCCTGAGAACATGCAGAACTTTCTCGTAAATCATCTGATATTTTCAAAATTCTTATGAAATCTGTTTTTGGATCAAGGCAAATATTTTTCTATTTTCAGTGTGTCGCAGTTCGACAACTCAGTACCATTCGAAATATTGAATGGTGCTCAAACGGAAAAAAAGCTGTCAGAGATTAAAATTACAGGTTTTGTAGAAAATTCAATTCTCTATCGATTGACCTTAAAAAGAACCCTTGGAACTACTGGACGGTACCTCAAAAACAACGAACTAAAGTGGCCGGTTTTATCTGAAATTTAATCCGCAATTAATTATGAATCAACCTGATACAAGCATTACTTCTCACTTATGGATGATACAGAATACGAATTTTATAGTAGTTCCAATGAAATTAACGAGAGATATAATTTGATTTGTAATTTCATTCTTTTTAGAAGCATTATAGATGATGAGAATAGGCGCATACACATCTTCATAATCAATTTCTTAGATCATAAGGGGCCGATGATTCAGATTTGTTTGCTGCTTGATAGTTCGGGAGCAGCTCGATCGTTGAGCCCTCAGACAAAAGTTCGATCTTCATTTTTTCTTGAAATTCGATGTTGAACTAAACACATCAGATAGCTCACAGTATCTACTACCAGCATTCAGTATTATTTGATCCTCATCGAATGGATATGAAGGTTATTAGAAAAGTTTTCTGAAAATCTTGAAAAATTGACTTTACGAAAAGTTTTTACCTCCTGATAAAAAACCAAATCTAAAAATACTTTCAATAACACTAGGAGCAGACATTTTTGATCAAAATGCGACATTTTCCAGCTTCGAGTGATGTTCTGATCAAGAGTTATGAGAGTTTTGCTAGAAGCCCTAAAACTTGCACCAGACACTGGCATCCTCATATGTCGAAAGCGACTTTAACCTCAACACTATTTCATACCTGCAAGATTTTTCGGTAACGAAACGTCGTGGCCAGCTCGGAAAGATCTTCAGTTGAAGTTGACACGTGTGGCTAGAAGCTAATCGAGCTGGAATTTTGATATTTCGGTCTAGCATTGTGGCTAGAAATTTATCTTTATGGATGTTAATGAGACTTTTCACACTGACCATTAATTTAAAAAGTAAAATATCAAACATTCAACTTTATTAGCCTCTAGCCATATGTGTTTCCCTCAACTTAAGAGCGACTCGAGCTTTCGACAACGTTTCGTTACTGAGAAACCTTGCAGCTACGAATAGCCCCATTTTGGTCACTGTTGTGATGACATCTCCCAAACTATGCTAAATGGAGCCAAACAAAAAATTTCGGCACCATACTTTCACAAGATTAGCGTCAAGTTTGGTCAAGGTCAGACCTATACTTCTAGAGATAGGTTTTCGACAGCGGGGAATGGGGCCTTAATAAATTACCTCTTAAAACATTGGTATGGAGTTTTGTTTAATATAGAATGATATTTAAAGGTAGGCTTGTCTCGTCCAGCCATTATTCTGCCAGGTTGACTTTATTAGATCATTTTTTCTATTATTAATCTTTTACAATACAGACAGATTTATTTCTCACATTATCACATTACAGGATTCAAAAACAGTAGAAGTATTGTAAACATCACCTATGAAAAGTGTGTTTAATATCAGAATACAGCAAAACCTCTTTATATATTTTGGGTGCCCTTGGAACTAGAGCAGAGGGTCCACCATCCGCAGATGCTCATATTAAGAAGGTTTTATATTTTTTTCTCCGTATACTCTAATAATATAAAAGCGCACTATTTCTCACATTTCTAAACTATATTATATTTATATTTTATTGCTTTCTTTTAAATTTCTTTAATTTTTTAGCCATCCGTCTAATGTGTTTTCTTGTTTTTTGAATCAAGAAGAATATCAGTTAATTTATTTTTTGATTCACAATTTAATTGATGTATTAAATATATTTGAGAATAAAAAAGTTGAGATTGTTCTGCTGACGCGAATTGATGCAACTTTCGTGCTATTTCTAACTCTTTACTTAATTCTAGTGAATTCTCAGCAGAGGTGAAATTGATTTGATTTGTGCAAAACGTTTTAGATGATTTTACTTAAAAATCTTTTTAAAATCTGTTATGCATAACGTAAACGCCTATGGACACATTTTAGTCTGCCAAAATTAGCACCAGAAATGGTTAATGATACAGTTTTTCAAAATTTCTATTAAAAAATTAAAACGTTTACCTCCTAAAAGAGAATTAGTAAACGCTTATCCGGTAATTTTCTTTGTTCTTATTCTTTTGTTCTTGTAGAACAGCTGTTTTTGGTGATAACAAATAAGCGTTTGTTTGTTTGTGAAACTGAAGAAGAAGAGGAGGAAAAATGCGTGGTGAAACAAAAACGATAACGAGGAATCGCTCAGTCAACGAAGAGAAAGCATTGTTTTGTTTTTCACCTTGAGTTTACCTTTAAAAAACCATCGATTCAGCTCGGTTTGGTCCGCTCCGGTTTGAAATTTTTGATATATCAGAAAAGTTTAGTTGCAAAGAAATGTACCGACTCCATCTCAGATTCTTAACAGCTGTTTCCTTTTTTCTTCATTTTATCCTCATTATCATTTCATTTAATTAGTTCAGATCATTTGAAAACTTCGGTATATACACTTTGAATGAGTTAGTAGTTTTTTAGTCTCACACGCAAACAGTCATTATTGACTTTTTCCAGCTGATCTAACTTTTCACTAGGGTTTCAAGTTTTTTCCGAAATATAAATTATGCCACGAGGTTGAACGTAGTTGATAATCTATGCTCCCGTATGTTTTTGCCATCATACCACGCGATGGTAAAGGAGTTCTGTGAAGTCCGTTTCCGCGGCTAGCTAAACGATGCAGTAATAAGGTCTGGCTTAACTCTCATTTTAAAGAGGACACTTTGGACTATCTATACATACAAAAAAATGAATATATTGTTATTTAAAATTTTAAGACTATGAACAAGTTTCCAAAGATCTCTTATAGACCTGTTTAGAAAAACATCTTTGAAAATATTTTCTCTTGCAGAAAGTTCCTCTAAAGTTTTAGCTATACGATGGTGAAAACTGCAGGTCTCCATGTCTTTTTGTCATTCAACAAAATGGTCACGACCATTCTTTTAATGGACAGGCAGTAGTAAGGAGATTTTTGGACTGTCTGTCTCTATTTGTATATCCGTTTCATATTTTTCATGAAGCAGATCCACTTTAGAGCGTTTATTATTAGCTGTAGGTAACGAGATGCCCATGTAGAGAGGCATTACAGTATATAGAATGCAAATCACTAAAGACGCTTCTCACGAAGAAATCTAAGAACGACAGTAACATACAAATAAAAATAAAAGCAATGTAATTTTTCAGCTCTTTCTAGCATATCTTCGCGAAAAATCTATTATAATCTCAATGTTTCATTTGAATCTTTCAATATTTTCAGAATTTAGACCAGTATTGAAGAATACCGTGTATGAAAAAAAGACCAACATTTTATCTGAATGTACGGTATATTTATTATACAGAAAGTTAGATATTCAAGACATGTTCTGTAAAGACAACTCGTTATTTTGTTCTTTTAATGATTTCTAGAAAATTCTGCTGTGTTTTTGACTACAATTTTTGTAGGTTTATTAAAATGAGAAATGGAGGATTAGTACACGGATTAAACGTACCGCTCTAAACTTTATTCAATGGGTATACCTCTTTTTTACAGGATGTCAATTAAGTAAACTATTTCTGGTAGCATTTTTATTTTTATTTTAAATTTGTAGTCTTCAAGGATTTTTATGCAAACTCTTCTATTCATTCTAAAAAGTTATCAAAAGTGTATCATGGTACGTTGCGTTGCCCGTAGAACCGTAAGCGGCTGATTATTGAATTGAACATCTAGTGTAGTACTACTTTTATGAATAGCAGAATAATATAAAATGTTGAAAATCGAAGCTTGTCAGTTATCCGCAGACAGCGCACTGCTGTTTCGAATCGGTGAATATTTGATGATCGAAGAAATATTTGTGCTGATATAAAAGTTAATTAAATATTAGTGAAAATAGTTCGTTAGTAAAAGTCATCGGTTCCAGTATTGTCATTGAATATTACTATTTTCTTATATGCTTTTTTATGTTCTAGTTGAGTGTTTATGTCCCATTTGATATATCCCATTTATAATTTTTCTTTACTAAATGGTTAATTAAACCGTCTATATCCATCCTGCCACTTTTCTCTATTTCTCCCAAACATACACTGGCTTCGTTTATTTCCGCTTCACAATCAATGGCTAATGTATGAAAGACGATCTCATGAATTTCAGCTAATTTTGCTGCTATTATTTGTAAAATGAGCATAAGAATTCGATTTCCACCATAGGCACCACAACCGAACCAGCCCGTATGAATGATAGTTTTCAATGACAAACTACTACTAGTTATTTTTTGTTGCATTTCATTTAATTGATTAGTTTTTGATGCTAATAGTTTTGCTGCCATAAAGCCTGTGTAACACGTTAAGAGGATATATCTAATTTCTGATTCTTTATATGAACCTTGACCACTTTTTGGAGCTTCAATAGCCAAAATGTTAACAATACTTGCTGGATTGAGGTATGTAGAAGCATCTATAATCTCTTGCTGTGTTGCTTTTGTGAATTTATTACCATAAATATTTGTTGTATCTATATTTAATACACGTTCTACATTACTGATGAGAATTGGTGTAGGTTTTTCACCATTCTCACCAACTTTTGAGCTAAACGAATAATTACAACCACATAGATATTCTCGAATAGATGCCAACTGAAAACATTCGAGAACTTGTAATTCGTCTTGAGCGAGAAGACGCTGACTATAATAGGAAAATAAATCATAATTAGCAAAATTCAAATGCCATTCTATCGTCGATTTATCTTGATTTTGATCGTAGGTAAACGTATCACTTTTATAAGTGACTTTTGTTTTAAAAGTGCTGGTACTGTCGGGTAATGTAAATGTAAGCCAACGTGTCATGAGGACGCGACGATCTCTCGATGGAACATAGTTATGCTTATCCATGATAGTTTTGTAGAGAAACGCTTTGTTTCTGTCTTGAAACATTGGTTTAAATTTGTTGAACAAATCGTTCCCATTAAATTCAATAGCGTTCTCCAGTTTATCCGCGAATTTTGCTGCATGACGATCAGCGCCAATACCAAATATTTCATGTTTAAGTTCGGGTAAGTGTTTCGCATCTATCTGAACGTCACCACGTGAAACATGATGTGGTTGTTCATAATCATCGGCCGAATCAACGAATCTTGACATGTTTTGTCGTTATTTAAGTGTGTGCTCTATTTTTTAGTTATGAGTTGAAAATGGAAAGGTAGATTTTTTTTTTGTTTCCTATTTTTCTGCCGTTTTTTTATTTGAGCAAGAGGAAAGAACATGCGTCACTGATATATATATATATATATATGTTTCTTTACCTTAAAACAACAAGCCGTTTTTCTCTTCTTTCTTCTTTTCTAGTAGTTGGTTACACACGTTATTTATTACTCATTCAATGGCGTTATGAAGAATGCCACTAAATAAATATGACATGATGGATAGAAAAGTTTCGAATAAAGCTGAGATTTAAAAACTGTTATCTGTAGTAATCAGTCATTGACTAGTATGCAGTAACTTGAAGATTTCAAAAAGAACTTATCCTCTTGACTTTAGTCTACGGTCTTACAAAATGGTTGTCGGTGGACGAAGAAAAGCTGTCAGATATTTCGTGGATAGGTCAAACATAAAGGAGAAAAATACAAATTTTTTTGCTTTAATCATGGGAGAGATAATGTCTACTAATGAAGAGAGGCAAAAAGCTAAGCAAACTCTTTCTGGAGACAGATGTCGCCAGAAATTCGTTAGTTTTAATGTTCAGAGGGTGTCCAGAAAACTTTTTAGCTTCATTGGGCGTTTTTTACCTGGAATCAGAGATGTTCACAACATTTCTCAGCTATCCTGGCTGCGAACGGCGACCAAAGAAAAGCGCCAACATTGCCTTGAATTTAGAAGTATCTTTAGACCTTCGAGGGTCTTGAGAACACTTTTAGATTTACATTAGATTACGAACCTTATAAGGTGCACGTACGGCAAGGTTACAGCAAAATTTTATTTTTCGATGTCTTATATATCATTCGATAGAGAATTTCACGGCGAGCAAGAATATGTGCTCCCTGATTTTTTTTAAAGGCTTCCTTCCGTTTGAAAAATCAAAAAAACTCGATTTTTCGCCATTTTTTTATAAATTTGAGTTTCCCAAGTTTCGTGCCAACTTGGACTGTTCAAACTGCCATATTCTTGTTCAGCTTTGAAAACTGAATCAGAAATGGCCTGAAAGCCGTTTCAGACCTAAACGTCTGTGGGCCAAGATCGTCGAAAGCAAAGCGACCAAAACCCCTCTACCTATTCTTGCAAACTTTTCACAAGTTTTTCTTCAGATGTTAGAGCCAATATTTTCACATGGGTCGACGCGTTAGATGCTCCTCTTCAAAAGTATACGTGCAGTTTTTTGAAATTTTTTGTCTTCGACGAGAAAAGTCGATTTTACTAAACACTGTGCCCAAAACGCCAAATCCTTTTCCGGTTTTTTGCAAGTTTCGCTAAAAATACAATTATGAGAGCGCCAAGTAGGTAAGAAACCAAGGAGAATTCGATAGAGACACTGCTGAGATCGTCAGAGGATTTCTGGAGGGTCTTGAGCGGGTCTTGGGAAGGTTTTTGTTCAGGTCGAGAGTTCTAGGACATTCACCAGTGTTGGAAATATCCATGCGTCACATGCTAGATTTTGCAACATGACGTATTGGGTTTTTTCCCAGTGTGTTATCATATGTTTTAGACTGGATTTTTCCAAATATATTCGTTTACGTCATACTTGGTATTCTCCAACCTGCTTATATATAAAACAAAGTTTTTCTCTACCTAAGCTAATATTTACTATGCCTCGAAAGTCAAAACGTCTGCTCCATGCGAGAATAATGAAAAAGATAGTTCAGTTTTGTGAAAGAAAAAACGCAGGATGATTTAACTTTCTGCGTCTCAAATTGTTGTACGTACTTCGAAGTTAAAGGTTCAAATTATTTAACTTTTTATTCTTTTTTATGACAAATCAATAACAAAACACAGGTTAAAAATATGCAAAAAATGCGAGTAAAAATGGTCCTCATCTTCATAGTACGTTAAAAAAGAAGAAATGGCTGTGTAGACAACGTGCATTATTCTCTTGAATGTATATGACGTCCACATGTCTGCTCTATGCACAGACACGTCCAGTCTGTTTTTATATATTCACATTGAAAGAACGAAATCAAAATTTGAAATTTCATTGGTCAAAGCAGATCGAAAAGACAAGACAGAGAAAAGTTTTACTCAAGAAAGTCAAGCCCTTTTGGTATTCAAGCGCTTAAGATAAGAATCTCATGCGCATGAGTTTCTTGAGATATGAAATCTAGCACATGAGTCAAGAAAGTCAAGCGCAAGACATTGGAAAAGATGCGTTCTGCATGAGTAAGAAATGTCTGCACGCCATGAGATTCTTACTCAAGAAATTCAAGCAAGTCATGTGCTTGAGAAAGAAAGCTTCAATAGGGTAGTGAACCCGTAGTGGTCCTGTTTAATAATCAGAATCAAGCAGCAATTGTATCTCAAGTTCGACGCATTTCGAAGGGTTTCTATTTTACAGATTACTTGACTGACGAAGGAACCCCACGAAGTGATTAAACGCTTTTTGCTCGGAATCTAGTGGGTTATAGGTTATCGATCATGCTGATTACGAATACGACCATGCGGCTTCCGCATAGCCCCTCGAAGACCTGGTTTTCTAGAAAACGAGTTTTTCAGAAACCCCAAAAAATAACCCGAACCGTTCTTAATGAGGCATGATTGTAGCCCGCACATTTCTGATTAAAATGAGACCTCCCCCATCTCTACATGACCTTTCTTTGCAAAGTTATAGAATTTACACGAAGAGCCCTAAATTAATTTCTTCTTATTTCTGTAGCTTTTAGCTGACAATGAACATTTAGGGCTTTTGTTATAAATTCTATATCTGACCATCCCAAAATATCTGGGCTACAATCTCTCACAAAATCGGTGAAAATCTTGCAAGAAGAGGGGGTCTCGGTTTTGGCCTGTACTTTAACTGCGTTATCAAAAACTCAGTTTTAGAGCTAGCGCCCCGGAAAGTACATGGCTAGATTCAGTTTTCAACGCTGAATCCGAATATCCTAGTTGCAAAGCTCTATGACCTAAGTGAAACGGCCGTGGGAGTCGGGGTGGTGATATTCGTGATCTCCGTTGAATTCTCTGTCGAACGGTGTATAAATAAACGCAATCTATTTTTCACTGCAAGTCTCCCTTACGGGCATCTTAAAAATAGGAGATAGTCTGTCTCTATTTTGTCTGTTGTTTTATATTGTAGCAGACTAAACGAGATGTAAAATTGACTATATATTTCAAAATCTTAAACTTAATAAACGATATCCATGCACTTATATGGATAAAGTATATTAACGATTGCAAATAATTTGTAGAATGTCAATAATCTAACTAAAGAAATAATTTATGAAGAAATCGATATATTTCTTTACTGAGTGTTTGCGTCGATGAATCATTGTCATTCGTTATAATACATGATGACTCGAACCATTCTAAACCTTTATAAACTAATTTTTGTGTTTCTTCTCTGTCATTTCCCACCGCTACCATTCGACATGCACTATTTGTCGTATTCACATCATATTTGGTATAAGAGGACACACATTTTGCAATTGGAATATAGTTTATACCTTGAATAGGACATTCTAATGGTATGTACATTAATTTTCCCTTTTGACGAGGTATCACCAAATCACTAACAATAATATCCAATTTTTCTTTCTGTTTTTTACTAACGGGTAATTCGTTACTCACTCTAAAATCTATTTCTGCAAATCTTTCACCTTCGATTATGTCAATCAGAGCACCAATACTCCCACCGGGACCCCTTGCAGCTATTTCACACAGAATAAATTGACCATTTGTTCCATTAAAATTCACATTTTCATAGAGTTCCAAATGAAAGACGAGATTATCAGGTGTAGGAAGGATGCTTAACAAGTTTTGTGCAGCATCTTTTAACTGGGTATACAGTGGTTCATTTGAACGAATTGATGAATTCCCGTAGGCTTTTCCGTGTAATGCAAATTCTAGACATGTGTGCAAATATTCAAACGGCCAAATTTGTTGAATTTGACCATGGTAAGCATATCCGTTGACATTATATATTCGTCCATTAACAAACGATTCAATCATTGTTTCACCAACAAAATCAGCTCGTTGCCCTAAATCGATTGAACTAAATAGTTTTTTTTTGAAATAGACTTTTAGTTCTTCTTCATCTTTTATTACTTCTACTCCGGACACAGCACAGCCCATTGTTGGTTTGATTACTACGGGATATCCGTATTGTTCGATAAATTTCAGAATTGTGGCAGGTGCTAATATACGTTCAAAATTCGGTACAAGAAATCCCCCTTGTCTAGCACACTCTTTCATTTTAACCTTTTCACGGTAGAATGCGACATCTTCCGATTGAAGACCATTTTTTATTCCAAATAAATTTCTCAAATAAGCAGCACGAATGATAAGTTCTTCATTCTTTGTGTAAATATGTGTTAGTGAATATTTGTGCTGAATTTCATTTGCCCATATTTCTAATGTTCCATCTGTACTTGGATGATCAACTTCTTTATATTCGATTAGATGCGAACTTTTCTTGTCGATCTCTGATACACCGTTTGTACTTGTAAATATGAATAATTGAACTTTTTCATCATCATCATTGATAAAATCCACATAATTGAAGCGAGTTACAATACCCGGTACTTCAACATCATCAAGAATAAGGATACGTTTCATTTGTTCTGTCAATGGGATAAAAATGAAAGAACTTATGTATCAATTGTGGAATGTCTATCTTAAATATGAACGAAGATATTTTATTAATAAGTTTTTTATTAACAACGATTGAGATTAATTTTTTGTTTACACTTGTGATGATCAAGTTCAACTTTTTACAAATAGATAAAACTGAAAGATAAAAAATCTCATGATAAAGTTAACATTGTTTTAAGCTGTAAAAAATATAAATTTACAAGTACTAGGTCCTTTTCTCTAAAATATTTTTATAAGTTTCGCAAATTAATGTTATCGTATGCAATACAAAGAAAATCTTACTCATTCGAGAACAATAGCACTGACTATTCAATCTAATCAAGCATAACAATGGACTTTTCGAGAATAAAAGTGAGTAACTAAAAACAAATTTTTCTCTAAATAGTTTTTGTTCTCTATGTTGACTAACAATATATGAAATAATCATTATAGAAGAGAACAAATGTATGCGAAAAACTGTATAGTCTTTTTAGTTCTTCTACACTATCAATTGTGTTTTTATAGTTGTTTTAATCGTCTTTTAGTAGCTGAATATTTTTTATAAAATCTTCTCTACCTTACTGGTATTAAAAGAAACTTGTACTATGTATAATTGTCATCAATTCTTTGTCAAGAGTTATGAAATGGTCTTTTTTTCTACGTATAGATGAAACGGTGGACCCATAGTTAAACCTAACGGTTCGAAAATGGAATTTGCCCAGAAAACGTCAATTTATCGGATGGATCAGCAATAATAACGCACTTTTGTTTTTAACTTTCTTCTTAGGTATTCATCGAACAATAATTTCCAGTTAAGCTCATTCGATTGAGAATTTAAAACTACCATCTGTCTCAAATACAAGGCCATCGGTTACTTTTCGAATAACCCAATCATACTGATAGATAGCGACCTGCATTTTTCACCATCGTGTTGATAAGACCCTAATGCATGTTTTTGTAAGCAGAAACTTGTTTTAAAATTTCCTGGAAGTTCGGTTTTCCAGAGGGTCTTTGGAAAACCAGCTCCGTTCTTAGAAAACAAACGTCCAACGGTAGTAATTTTTTTGCATGCGTAGGTAGTCCAGACGTTACTCTACAAAATTATACAAGTCTTCGCTCTCCACCTACCACCGTTTGGGCAGGACTCGCTTTCCTCGAGCGCGTGTGTACCTCCGAGCAGAGATCTTTAGAAATCTCGAAATGCCATGGAATATAGGTAATCGACTACGCTGAGCATAGTGGCAACATTTGTTTTTGTGTAGAAATGAAAATAACTTCGCCAGAAGCATTTTTGTGAAAAACCGGTTTTTCAAAAAAAGTCTCTTAAGATATGGCACTAAAAATTAAAACTAATGTGAGTTTGTAGAGAATTGAATATTGTTTCAGAAAATGTGTTTTAGCAAAAGGACAAAGTTCATTTAGTATATGAAAATTATTGATTATTCTCATAAACTCCTCTTCTGAAACAAATGAAAAATTTACGAATTTCTACTTGAAAAGTAGATCGAGAGGTAATTGATCATATCCCATTTGAAAGAGCAATAAAAATACTTCTAGTTTCTATAATTTCAAACTTAGTCTGCTATAGTGAAAAAATACTTTTGTTGAAAGAGATACATCTGACTAGAGAGGTAGTTGCAAGAGTTATTTTTGGGTGATCTATCGTATTTAGATTTTTTCTCACTCAAACTCAATTATAAAAAATTATGTTTTCTTTATTCTTTAAAGTTCAGACTTTACGCTTTCCAAAGAAAAAAATAATTAAATCATCAATTCATCATGAACATGCAGAAATAATGCTCGGCATTTTTGCAAAGACTTTTACATCGAATGTTAGTTGATATACAGAAACATTTCAGAGTTATATTAAGTAAAAACTTGTCAAGCAAGAATGACAATTAAACATAATTTTAAAATGCCGGTTCTAAACCAAACACAGAAATCATTTTTCTTCAAACCATATCTTATGCTGACTGTGTTCACAGTACGGCATAGTTGAAAGCATTACATGATTTCAAATATCAGGCGAGATCAACTGTTAGCGGAGCTTTATTAAGATTCATTAGCACAGGAAAAATATTCTCTTCTTTCAGTGGACTCGATGCTGACGTCGTTTTTAAAAACCGCAAATGAATAATCTGTTTTCAGAAAATTACAAAAGTAGTAATGGATAAGTAGTAAGGGATATGCAGGTAGAAGAATACACCGCCTTGCAACTACTGTTATCGGTGTAGGGTGCTGATAAGTGTCAATAAAGTGTCTAAAGACGAATTGACGAATCGCAATTTTTTAGCGTAAAAATGATGCCATAATTCGCATTTTACGCTTATTTTGAGAATTCGCAGCGAATTGATCCGAACTGTGTCGAATTCGTACGATACTCCTAAAAACTTTTACAAATTCATCTTACGAATTCGTAAACATCCGAATAGCTCAACACGATGCTGATCAGTTCGCAAATAATTCGTAAAATTAGTTTACGAATTAGTGTTTACTGCTTTTAGATCTAGATTAATTCGTATTACGAACTGATCCAGCGGTTGAAAATGGATACTTCTAATATCAATTCATTATGAATTCGTAGAATGCGAATTAATATCAACGGCAAGAAATTTTTCTATGAGGTTAAAAATACATAGATTCGTCTCTTCGCATCGGTTTGGATAGTTCTGACCTCAATCCGTCGTTATTTTATTTATCGCAAAAAACTGACTGAAATACAGCGAAACACGTTTGGCTTGTTGTGTAAACACTCACAGCCATCCTCGCAAAATTTATTGTCCTTGATATTGATAGTAGACCGATTCCATTTACGAATTCGTGGGTACCCGAAATTTCTTGCCTACGAATTCGTTCCAGTTTACGAATTGGCAAGAGGAATGAAAGAGGCACCTTTCTGATTATTTTTTCATCATTTTTGTCAGTTCGCATCAGATCGTACTGAATTACGAATTCGCAAAACAATGACGAAATGCGAATTATTGTATCATTTGTATGCTCACACATTGCGATTCGTCAATTCGTCTTTTGACACTTTGTCCACACTAATGAGCTCAATAGTCCGATATCTTTCCTGCACTGTAGAAAAGAAAGCGCTCTCTGGTGATGCTGATCCTATGTGTAGCAGTCTTGTTTTGCCGTGCTTTTGAAGTGTTTGACTGGAGAACACTTTGAAAAGTGCTTTAAAGAAAACCACGTGCAAAGCGCTCCTCGGTGGTTACTTGAAAAGTAAACAATAAAGACCGCTACACGTAGGATCAGCTCCACAAGTGATCGCTTTTGAAAATGCTCTTCTCTAGGCCACTTTTCGAACGACATTTATCGAGTTTCATTATATTTGATTTGAAAGTATGATTTTCTAATTTTGTTAATCTTTTATTCCTTTGAACCATGAAACTATTCCTAGTACCAGTCTCAAACGCATGATACTATCACTAATACTAATTTAGCAAATTAGGCTGATTTTTTTGGAGGCAGTTTAGAGAAAAACAGCATACATATTCTGATTCCTTTTGCATGTAGATTCCAAATCTGATGTTTGTTTTCTGGTGGAACGTCTAGTTTTTGAAAAAGAAGCGAAAAACCGTTTTTACGTTGAAATTAGGTGTTTTTCTCCTTCTCCTTTTCTCTCTTTCTTTCTGTTCGTTTCCCCATTTTCATTTTTTTTTTCTTTTCGCTATGCTATTTATTGATACGGTCGTAAGCGCTTGCAAAAGTAATGAAAAAAGTAAAAATACAAAAAGTTTTGTTTACAATGTAGGTCACTCTCTCCTTCTACATAGCGCAGCCCAAGACTAGTTTGCAATAACATAAAAAATTAACATACAAAAAACCTGAAAGAAAAAAGGAAAGAGAAATCTAGAACCGATTTACCTAAGTGGACTAGTATCTCAACTCACAGTTATAGTTGTCTAGAAATGAAAGCCATTCGAGAAGATAACATTTATGATTCTTGATCATCTTTTTTACACGCTTAAGTCTAAAAAAGTGACCTAACCCAATTTTCATGATGAACGGAGAGAATGAGGAAGAGAATATACATCTATATCTTCTAGAGCTATTTTCTTCACACATTGACTCAGAAAACAAGTTTTATCAAAGTGATTCATCTTCTCTACACCTGAAAGGGCTATGTCTCGCCATGCGTTTTATAGCAAAACAGTTTTCATAAAAAACACTTTTTGTAGCACTTTATTTTTTACAGTGTGTGAGAGACTTATGTTTTCTCTACTTATAAGTCCTTGAGAGGTTATTGTACGTGTGCTTTATAATACGTAGTGTATGTATATTATACTTTTATTTCGACCACTCTTTAAAAAAAAATTACAACCTACTGACACTAAAAACTAATATATCTGCTACATGCCAAAAGATAAGAACAAGACGAAAACGAAAAAGAAAAAGAAAAGGAACATCAAAAAGGAAAGAACGGAGCGGATCAAAGCAAAATACCTATCTACAGAGATAAACTGTACATTGGAAGTAGATGTCGTGAACAATAATCGTCACACAGTGTTCAGACGACAGCTTTCTGACATGGCCATCAACTCCAGCTTTAATCAGAAGGCACGCCTGACATAGAGTTCTTTTCGGCCGATTGCTCAAATTCGCCATACACACTCACTAACCATGTACTAACTTTCCAGAAAACCATGAAGACTAACTGTAGAAACTGTATTGAATGTTTCAACATAGTAAGTTCTCTATCAGACCGATGGGCTGATACACTAAGATATAATTAATTTGTCTATGGTTATTACTCGACTTTCTGATGTCAAAGTTCGTACACTGTACCGTCGAAGTACGTGACGAACAACATAGCCACTAAGATATGCAGTCTAAAGAATATGAACAGAGTTCAATTTCAAATCAAACAAAATGTACGTAGTATTCAATGCTTCTAAAGAAGAGTACAATCAATGTGTCCGATTATACTCATGTTCAAATGGACATATGAGTGAAACATACAGCCATTGTATCGTGAT